ATGACGTACGTAAGTGTATGCCTTGATATGTTAGTGTGGGATTTACAGGACGTGTAGGCATGGCGTAGGTAAGTGTACACTTTGATATGTTAGCGTGGGATTTACAGAACGTGCAGCCATGGCGTACGTAAGTGTATACTTTGATATGTTAGCGTGGGGTTTACAGAACGTGTAGGCATGGCGTACGTAAGTGTATACTTTGACATGTTAGCATGGGATTTACAGAACGTGCAGGCGTGGCGTAGGTACGTAAGTGTATACTTTGATATGTTAGCGTTGGATTTACAGAACGTGTAGGCATGGCGTAGGTAAGTGTATGCCTTGAAATGTTAGTGTGGGATTTACAGAACGTGTAGGCATGGCGTAGGTAAGTGTATGCCTTGATATCGTAGCGTGCGGTTTACAAAACGTGTAGGCATGGCGTACGTAAGTGTATGCCTTGATACGTTAGTGTGGGATTTACAGAACGTGTAGGCATGGCGTACGTGAGTGTATGCCTTGATATGTTAGCGTGGGATTTACAGAACGTGTAGGCATGGCGTAGGTTAGTGTATGTGCATTTTGAACGTGACTCAAACTCAAAGCTATGACATTTGTAGCGCTAAGATAGTTTTGTCTAACGGATCCTGGTCGCTCTGTTGAAAACCACATTTTTTACCCAGGTCTTTTCGGGAAAGCCATAAACCTCATTCACTCACTCACGAAATAAGTTTCAGACGTTTCAGTGTAAATCCACGCATGTTTTGGAGGTGTATGTTATAAGGGTAACGCTATTTTTCAGGGCATTATCATTTGCAGAAGCCCGAGGTCTTCCATTAACTGCCCGACGAAGGAGGGCAGTTGAAAAGACCGAGGTCTTCTGCAAATGATAATGCCCTGAAAAAGAACGTTACCGTTATTATAGCTAAAATGTCACTGACCCACTTTTACAAATATGGCAACGTCATAGAACAAACCATATGACGTCATTATAATACGTGACGTCACTTTCTCTACCCTATGACGTCACCTAACAACGGGCTCGATAATGGCCCGTCGTCAAGCAATATGAGGGCATTATCAAGTTACAGTGGCCCGCTCATTTCTGATAACGTGCGGGCAGTTTAATGATAATTCTATCCATTTTAGCTTTAATATAAGGGTAACGCTAGTTTTCAGGGCATTATCATTTGCAGAAGCCTGAGGTCTTCCATTAACTGCCCGACGAAGGAGGGCAGTTGAAAAGACCGAGGGCTTCTGCAAATGATAATGCCCTGAAAAAGAACGTTACCGTTATTATAGCTAAAATGGATGGAATTTGTTATCTAATGAAAAGAAACAACAATATCAGTTTTGAAACATTTACTGCAATCAACACGAATGTCACTGACCCACTTTTACAAATATGGAAACGTCATAGAACAAACCATATGACGTCACTATAATACGTGACGTCACTTTCTCTAGCCTATGACGTCACCTAACAACGGGCTCGATAATGGCCCGTCGTCAAGCAATATGAGGGCATTATCAAGTTACAGTGGCCCGCTCAGTTATAGTTACAATACACCAAGACGAGTTGTTTGGGCAGTAAGAGCACGGTTTGGTTTGGCATTTGATTGACAGACAAAAGGACCGAGGGGCGGTTTAATGATGATTCGATCCATTTTAGCTTTAATATACAATAACGCCACGACACCCCAACCTCTCCCCCATACACAGGAACTAACAAGTTGTCTCTTGAATGGAAATGTAAGATTTGTTTTGTTAAAATGTCTTTTAATAGGTAATAGAAAGAGACCCTGAGAATAAATTCATTTTCAGAACCTGAAATTATCTAGACTTGCCCAAGTACGATCATACACTTGCTTGGGTGTTATCTTTCTTTGGTTTCAGGATCTATATGAGAGACTGGATACGTTGTTGGGGTACAAGCATGTGTTAATTGTTGAAAACCCACTTTGATAGTCTGTCTGTCGCTGTTAGCAATAGTCCAGCAATAGCACGGTCGGGGACACCTGAAATTGGCTTCACACACTGTACCCATGTGTGGATTCGAACCCGGGTCTTCGGCGTGACGAGCGAACGCCTTATCCAATTGACTACCCCACCATTGGATAGACACTTAAACAGATATATCCAATACAGCACATGCAAGTCTATAATATTTAGAAAGTCTTGATCACTGCAGTTTCAGGAAAAGAAGAGAGTCTCTGGCATCCTTTTTATTCCATTGTATTTAGATAATATAACAACGTTTTTCCATGTAATTAGCTAGAGCCCGGGTTCACACAAGCCACTAAATAGTCAGATGATTGGAGATAATCTCTCTAAACTGTTTCACAGTCTTGTCTTTCTTTCAAGCATCTGTACGATGACCTTATCAATGCGAACTCGATTTCCAAGGGCAGCAATCAAATTAAGATTTCATTGATTTTTTGGAAATCTCAATTGTCCCTCCACCCACACAAACATTCATCCAGTCCCGATGGACTGATCGGGGTTAAGACCAAACAGAATGAATTACGTTTGGTTGGTTGGTTTTGTTTGTTGTTTAACGCCACACTCAGCAATATTCCAGCTATATGACGGCAGTCTGTAAAATAATCGAGTCTGAACAAGACAATCCAGTGATTGATATGAACATCGATCCACACAATTTGGATCGATGAAATGCATCAACCAAGTCAGCGAGCCTGACCACCCGATCCCGTTAGTCGCTCTTACGACAACCATAGTCGCCTTTTACGTCAAGCATGGGTTTCTGAAGACCTATTGTACCCCGGATCTATGAATTACGGTAAAATGCAAGCCAGACTTTAAGGTGCCCGTTGTTTCAATATGTTTAATACTGCTTCTCTGTTCGTTTAAAAATGTTTACTGTTTTATAGTTAATGTTGCCCTGTGATATCTCGAGACCCACCTCTGCACCTCCTTTACCCTATGCTTGCTGTGTTCGTCACACTGACAGACAGACGGACAGACGGACATACAGACAGATTATTCAGTAAAAAGGCCATAGCCCAATAATACAGAGAGTGTTTGAATTGCATGAACTATCGATGCTAATGAAGGAGTCGAAAAAGCTTCTCTCAGCCGTTGGACTTTATAGAAATATAAAAATGCGTTATATCAAAAGTAAATTTCAGTAAAAGGTATTACAATTCTAGACTTAATATGCTATTTACGATACATACTTCTTAGAACTGATGACACATACAAACGATACAAGGAATTCATCTTCAATAAACGATCTACAATTTTCTATTCACTATTTACATAATCGGGTAAACGCTTATCTTAATCACCTTGGCTTCTAACAATGTGCGTCTCGCCTTGGCTTCTAACAATGTGCGTCATGGTTAATCGGTGCTTCCACTATCGACCCCTGGTTTGTTCAGGTTCGACTACATGATTGTTGTGTTTGTTTGTTTGTTTGTTTAACACCGCACTTAGCAATATCCCAGCCTTATGACGGCGGTCTGTAAATAATCGAGTCTGGACCAGACAGTCCAGTGATTGCTTAGCCCCCTAGTTTGTTTTTATAGAAAACAGTTTTCTTTGAATCATGAAAATACAAGTTGGGGACAAGTGATACTTGTACAAATATTTGCCACCCCTGTCAAAAAAAGTTAACTACGGCCTTGGATTGACATCAGCAGCATCGTTCTTCGCAACTGGGATACGATGACATGCATTAGACAGCTGGAATATTACGGAGTGCGGTGTTAAACAACGAACAACAACGTTTTGTGTCAGTTTTTTTTGTATATCAGTACTCTAACTGAATACTCTAGAAGCAGTTACAAAAATGGACCTTCTTTGTACTCTTCATATACTGAAAAAGCAAGCTCCGCAGCCTATTTGATCAGACACTGTAATTCCAGCTATGTATGACTTACACTCGTTGTCTGTAACTGAATATGTAACAAGGTTAATCATACACCACTGTCAGATTGCGAGACATTATTACATTTCATCAAACAATTTATCATTGCTGTCGTTATTTACCTCGGAGGGTACCTTTTTAAGTCTACAGCCAACTATGAACCCCACACCAAGCACTTGTAGTATTCATGCCGGGTGCATGCGTCTGGGTGGGGAGGGGGTGACGTATCAAGGTCATGTCGAGCTACTCACGTGCTTGTCACGATCACTGTTGTAGTAGACTCACAGTTGGGGTCAGGTGACACGCGACTGACACGAGTGCACGATGCCATCATTGAAAATACTTGTGTCGAATCAGCAAGTTTCACGTGCAGATATTATATACATAATATTGAAGGTCCAATAATATTTTAGAGGGCATGGGTGGCCCAGTCGTCTAAGGGCACGGGTGGCACTTGGGCACGCCAGAAACCTATGATTGTGGGTTCGAATCCCGGTTCGCCCCAATTATGTTTGTAGGTTTGTCAGCACCATACCCGTGCTCGTGGGTTTCGCCGTAGTGGTAAACGTCTGAGACCTGCATCACTTCGGGCTTTCCTCCCACATTAAGATGACACGCCGCGATATAACTGGAATACTGTTAAAAGCGGCTTTAAACCCAACTCACTCACTCACTGACTCCAATAATATATCTTCACACACATAACACAACGGAGGAACATCACAGAACTAATTATGCCTAATCAGCATTATTACGCTGCAATAGCTGATATTTATACACATACGAAATTCAATATTCTTCAGATTTAAAAATATCTATTTGAATCCATATGTATAACAATAAGATATGCAATATGTCTAACTACTGCTGAATTACATACCAGCTGATTGTGCCTTGTAAGCATATTGTACTCCGCATTTCGTAATATTATTACATACACATATTTCAAAATTTGATATTCTCAAGATTCAGCAATATTTATCAACTTACTTTTTCCGACATTCAACAGTTATATTACAAAATCGTGTCCCATCAAATCCTGACTTTGTTTGAGATGTGTTATCTGTAAAAAAAAAATCAGAACTCTGTGAATTGTTGAATTACCATAATTCAAACATTTATTGATTTGCAGGTGCCAGGATTCTTGAACGTAATATCGAGTTATCGATGAAGACAGGCAGAATTTGCCGAGAATAACATTCATTAATATCATCACGCAAACTCTCGTACTCGTGTCAGCTGATCACTTGTTTTTATCGGGAAGTGGGTCAAGCTCAGCACCAGTGTGCAGTGTAAGGAGTTACGTGAGGAGTTACCTCTACCCCCCCAGCTGCGACTTATTCGGGAAGAAAGGTAGGCGGCACACCTCATGTTATAATTTGTGTATTTAAATGAATTACATACTATAATATTCATTTCAGGGTATTTTATTTAGACGGTATGTCTTTTTAGCTTATCGCGTGGCGTGGGGACAAAGTGCAGTCTTTTTCGTACAACACGTGTTGTGCTGGGTGAAACCGTTTCATGAAGGCATTGTATCCTCGGACAGGGCTTACCTACCAAACACTTGAGCCCTTATGATGCATAATTATTGTTTATGTCTGATAGTGTATTATTCCTGGTGGCTAAATTTATAATTTTTCATTTATATTTTGCATCAGTTGGATAAATGTCATCATATTTGGAGTATTGAGATAATAATGTATTTTACAAATATAGATTGTTATATGTGTAATCTTGACTAAACACGTCGTGTACAAAGATACAGATAACATATTACCTTAGAAGACCGCCTTAGAAGATAATTAGGCATAGATGGCATTAGGCTATAGTTGGCTAAAGGCTTTGTCAGTCACGGCACAGGTGAAGTGTTTGCTATCCATAATCTTTCCCTGCCCTACTAACAGGGTCTAGATTTTTGAAACTATCGTAGCCCTGAGATATCTTAAGTTTGCCGTAAATATAAGATAGATATCACCATGTAATGTCCACAATAAAACAGACCGTCTCCGTGGTCTAGTGGGAGAGCGTCCGCCCGGAGAGCGGAAGGTCCGGGGTTCGATCCCCGGCCGCGTCATACCAAAAGACGTCAAAAGATGGTACTTGTTGTTACCCTGTCTGGCGCTCGGCATTAAGAGGCTAAAACAAGGACTGGTCGGCTCGGAGTCAGTATACTGTGTCTGAGTGGGGTATTCATGTAAACTGGTATCTCAGTGAGCTAGCACTATAAATCGGCATCAGTCCGGACTAGTACAAGCAGCCACACAAACACACACACGTACATGCACGTCGCTATATAAGTGCAATAATCTTGGACTCCATTTCACCTCACCTCACCCACCTATTACCTTAGAAGGAAAGTGGACATTAACTGGAAGATCTCTTTTTACCGTTGACATGGTAACAGAAAAACAGGTAGTAAACAACTAATAAATCACATTTCCTCCAAAATAGATGCTTCAAGTACGACGTCGTCCAATCATTCTGAGTAATGCACTACTCGTCTCCAAATACCGTATTGTGTGGTAACGTGAGCCCACCTGTGACGTAGATATTACACGAGGGACAGATAAGATACGGTAACCGCAGAAAATGTGACCAAAGCGGTAACGGAAATGAGATTCGACCAATCAAATTCCATCTCTAAGACGCAAAGTCTGTAGGTGACTGCAGCATGGTAACGTCTTTGTTCAGTTGGTAAACGGACATTTTTCAGTGAAAAAATTAACCGATCAGAACATGAGTTATTTTTTAAACTTAGTGGGCTATCAATATACGACACTCTTTTATAGATATCAGCTTCTGTCTTTCTACTTCTTGTCTCTTCATCAGGGGAAGAGTGTGGGCTATCGCTCGCTCTGTCCACAATCAGGTTCGCATTTACATTTATGCGAAAACCAACCCTGATGACATGCGCCGTGGTATGGCTGCAATATTGGAAGAGGTTGTGTAAAATCCCTCACTCACTCATTGACAATGCCTCTGTAGAAGACCGCCTCCGTGGTCTAATGGTAGAGCGTCCGCCCAGAGGACGGAAGGTCCGGGGTTCGATCCCCAGCCGCGTCATACCAAAAGACGTTAAAAGATGGTACTTGTTGTTACCCTGTCTGGCGCTCGGCATTAAGGGGCTAAAACAAGGACTGGTCGGCTCGTAGTCAGTATACTGTGTTTGAGTGGGGTATTCATGTTAAACTGCGGCATGGTATTTCAGTGTGCTAGCACTATAAATCGGCATCAGTCCGGACTAGTACAAGCAGCCACACACACATACACGCATGCACGTCGCTATATAAGTGCAATAATCTTGGACGCGACGTAAACCCCATTTCACCTCACCTCACCTCACCTCTGTAGAAATACATTTCTGTTTAGCTTGGTCGAGACAGCTACCCCTTGTGACGGTTACTGTTGCATGCTGATAAATGACGACTGGGTGTGCTTCTTCTGGAGGTGAATTACAAGCAGCCTGGTTCCCTGGGTATGCTGCGCTGGTGCTACACTGACCCAGGCAATGACTGCACAATGGCCGCCTCCACTAGAAGAACAAACATGGCGTACACGACATGTATTTACTGCAGAAAAACGCTTTAACGGATGGTTAATTTTTTTTCTGAGAATTTTCATTAATGCTGTTGCAATGTATACGTCACGGGAATAACGTCCATTGTTACTTTTACTGAAGGAAAACATTATATAAGCTGTTTCGAGACTCGAAAGTGGTCGTCACATCGGCGAAATGTAAACTATGACACACACACCATTTTCAACAGTGATATGAGCGTTATTATGTCGTGTCAGCTCACTGTTGTCACGAAATTGTACACATTATACATGGAATTAAACGACCATGTTAGTGAAATACCGTTAGTATCTTTATTTTAGCAAATTTGATGACGCAAATGTCGTCGATTATGACCTATTTTTTCGCATTGTAAAATGGTGTGTTTAGCGGAACGCCTAGTATAATCACTAGAAAAAACAATCACTTTTGATCCGTAATAATGGTGTTTAATGATCGGGACTGTTCTAGCATTTTTCTATAGTAAATACATGTCGTGTCCGCCATGTTTGTTCGTCTAGTGGAGGCGGCCATTTTGCAGTCATCGCCTGGGTCAGTGTAGCGCCAGCGCAGCATACCCAGGGAACCAGGCTGAATTACAAGGGACTGTAACACTGCTTCAATCAGAGACCATATACCGATATGGTCTCTGCTTCAATGGTGCATTTACATTCATATATTCTCAAACCACGATGCACCATTATAGTTACAGCGAACCTATTTACAGGTTACAGCGTGACCTATTTTACATATCACACGTGGCTATTACTTACCTTTTTAACATTTTCATGCCACAGTTGGCACCCTAGATCAGAGATAGGTGCAGGAATTATAAATGACAAACGCGAAGATTGCAAAGGTCGGTTTGACTATTGCCTGCCTTGCCCCCCCCCCCCCCCCCCCCCCCAAAAAAAAAAAAAAATATTAACAAATAAAAAAAAAAGACAAACTCATTAATGAATGAATATAACAGAATCATAAAACCCAGCAAACCATTGATTTATATCGTGAGGGGCAGCGATAGACAGGACCATACAACCAACTTACACATTGCGTCAACCCGATCCTAAAATTATTCCTCAACAGACAAAAACAAATAAACAACAAACAAACAAACAAACAAACAAACAAATTCCACAAAATAAATCCCGACCAAAACTGAACAGAAGCAAAGGAGTCAGAAAGTAGTAGCCCTTCCCTGCATAAACACGACACTATCCAAAAAACGCCACAACAAGTCTCCACCACTCCAGTAAGTCTGGATCTCTGCAATTTAAACAATCCTGTTTATTATATATTCCAATAATTATTCAACTAAAATCGAATCTGAAAATATTGTCATATCAGACACTGAATGTTAGTCAAACGCTCAGTAGAAGTCTGGGTGATATTTAATCTAACTTAGCCAAATATGACCAAATGTTCCCGTGCCTTGTTGACGTGAACAATTGACTTACCTTTGCGTGTGTTTGTGACGGGTGCCACTGACGGAGCAGGATACGCTTACCGTTTCGCGACCACCTGATGTCGTCACTATTTGATATTGACTCTTATAGATACATACTCGTGATAAAGTTGGAATCTCTAAATCGACTCTGCTTTTAGAGATTTCTTAAGAATATGGAAAGGGTTTTGTCGCTTTTATTTACGGATTGCCCTCCGTTGTCTATTTCCCGTCCAGCTCTTGACCTTGTAATTGGCGCGACGGTGTCCTGTCTCATTTGAAGATACAGGTATTGCAAATGTAGCGGCCATAAAATTTCCGAGTCCCGTGATGGGATTCGAACCACGAACCTTCTGATCCGAGGTCGGACGCCTTGTCCACATGACCAAAGAGGTTAACCCCGTCAGCAAGCTGACAAGATAAGGATGTCATCTGTGGGATGACTCCACGCCCGCTACATACTCCCCCGTCAACAGAAGGCACGTCCCGGGCCGCATAGTAGGGTACTAAGGCTTATTTTGCTCAAATTTAATATGAACGTGCTCAGCCCCACGTTGGGCGCCAATGTAACGGCCTTAAAATTTCCGAGTCCCGTTATGGGATTCGAACCACGGACCTTCTGATCACAGGTCGGACGCCTTGTCCACATGACCAAAGAGGTTAACCCCGTCAGCAAGCTGACAAGGTAAGGATGTCATCTGTGGGGTGACTCCACGCCCTGCTACACAAACATACAAACAAACAAACAAACATTCATGTTAATAATTGTAATAAAACACTTATCAAATCCATCTTCTTTGAATGACGTCACTGCACTGACCAACACTGCTAACATAGACCTAGGTGACGGGTACGTACTGCTGAGCAAATGTAGAAAACTCGGCGTGAACACCATTTTTAGGAACAGTGCAAGGGTACTAAGACAGCCTTGAGGGGTGATCCCAATAACTGTCAGGCCTCGGTTTGGGGAATTAGCTATTGGGAGCGAGCCTTGAAACAAGAGAGAAGAGAGCTGTGAGGTCCTTAGGGTTTATTCAAGCAAGTGTGTCATATCATTCAAGTTACATCAATTAATATATAATAGTGACGTACAATCATAATAATGATAATAATATGCCAACACATTGTCCATCTAATAAAGGCATAATAATAAAGGCAATGTATTTAATATTGGAGTATGTACGGTAACATTATACAACAGATGCAGTATTTACTAGAATAATAACGGTAATGCTAAATAACATTCCTTAACAGCTAAATTGAGTAGTCGTAACATTTTAATAGAGCATGTACAGTAGACTGCGCAAACTGCTTAGATGAGGAACATGACATTTACTTATGAAATGACGA